TAATGCAAGAAACTCAAGAAAAAGTAAAAGAGCTAGGAATAACTTTTTTTTCAACCCACCTGCTTCTAGCCACATGAGAGGAGTCTGGGAGGGAAAGTTTTGAATAATAAGAACTGTTCTGAAATCCATTCTTGACCAGTCAGCTTTCAGATTAGACACTTCATCATTGAGAACATTTATATATGAAGCCATGGCAATAGTGAATAGTCGACCACTAACTATAGAGTGTATTAACAACCCTGTAGAACCGGAGCCGTTGACACCCAACCATATTTTGACGATGAAATCAGCAGTGATCTCACCACCACCTGGAGAATTTGCTTTGAGCTTACGGAAGAGTCAGAAAAGTTAAGATTCTCATCAGTAACTCTACTAGAGCAAATAAAGGAAAGCAAGCAACTAAGATGATTTTAGAGAGACCGATACATAAGACTATACTTTTATTAGAAGCAGAGTGAAGACTAAACTTAACAAAGGTTAGCCAATAAACATTAAGTTCATTGTTGTGTTAACTTCTTCTAGGATCACACATGCTGCCATAGTGTGGTGGTGGGAGTGTAACAGCTTTTGAAATGTTAGTGTTTTGCCACTAGGCAGCAATCTTGCAATGCTAATGTCATTAACACATTTTATTTTGTTTCTATATTGTATATTTGCATATTAATTTTTATGTTTAACACGTTTAAAAATTTCCTATTTGTATACAGGATGTGTGACGCATGGTCAGGCTCCCTCTGCTTCACTTATCGACACACAGGGTAAACGGACAGAGGAAACGGATGAATCAATATGGATTACCATAGCAGGACACGCTGGTGAAGGATATCAGCTCTGTGGCTATAAGCTACATTATCTCTAAAAGTGACTAAGCTTCTCAGTGCTTTTCTGTTATTGACTTCTGAATATGGCAGTAGTTCTGTGAAGTTTCTGTTCTGTGCAATCTTCACCAAAATAAATGTCTGCAGCCTTGAACTTTCTGGTGACGTTGGCCACACTGTCATTTCACACAACAGTCTGAATACCTAAAGGTTAAAAGAAACGAGTCTTTCCTGCGCAAATGTTTTATCAAACAACACTGTCTGCACTTTGGATGCTCACAAAAGGATGTGCCGTCACTGGTTGTACGCTTGCTGCTGCCTGGTCATTGGCCAGCCTTTTGCTGTCAGCTGACGCATATCAGTCTTCACTCCCTCCTTCCATCAGTCACTCCTGTGTGAATGTCTGGTCTCCGTACCTACCTCTCAGCCTGCAGTCTGACATTTGGCTTTAAACTGCAGTTTGAACATCTCTCACAATAAAGAACGAAACTCATTCAGGTAAGTTTTACACACACTAACACGCTGGGAACAAGTAGTCATT